TGAAAAGGGTGAACGGGCGAGACAGGCAGTACTCGTAATTGGCTCATTGGATACTTAGTACAAGTGTAGCCATCTATGTGTAAGAACAATCAAACAAGTTGACTCACAGTGGGCATGGCATGTATGTACATGCCATCCCCGGCGGCAATGGGTTAAAAAAAGAAAACATCCAGGAACTCATAAAACTTTATTGCTTTATACAGAACTTACCGAGAAGGTAGAGATGAGCGACAGCAAACTAGAAAAGGACATAACTCGGCTGACGACCAGTTGCGAGAAGCAGGTCGACATTGGCATGCATCACGTCGCCAGAGTCAACAAACTCCTGGCTGAATGGTAGGCTGTGTTCCTTTTGCCGGTCTTGTTTTTGAGAATATTTTTCAGTGGTTATAATTTGGCAGCTCTTCTGTTTCTTCTTTTCCTTCTTTGTCTTTATCTTTTGCGTGTTGGGGGTGTTCATCTTCTTTTTGTCCTCTTCTTCCTACTGTTACTCCTCCTCCTCTTCCTTATCCTCTTCTTCCTCCTCCTCATCCTCCTCCTCCTCCTCCTCCTCTGGTTTCTCCTCCTCCTCCTCTGGTTCCTCCTCTGCCTCCTCCTCCTCCTCTGCCTCCTCTGCTTCCCATGCCTCCTCCTCCTCCTCACCCTCCTCCTCACCCTCCTCCTCTGCCTCCTCCTCCTCCTCCTCCTCCTCCTCCTCCTCCTTCTTATCCTCCTCCTCCTCCTCCTCCTCCTCCTCCTCCTTCTTATCCTCCTCCTCCTCCTCCTCCTCCTCCTCCTCCTCCTCCTCCTCCTCTGCCTCTTCCTCTGCCTCCTCCTCTGCCTCCACCTCCTCCTCTGGCTCCTCCTCTGCCTCCTCCTCCTCCTCCTCCTCCTCCTCCTTATCCAACTCCTCTTCCTCCTCCTCCTTATCCTCCTCCTCCTCCTCCTCCTCCTCCCCTCTCTTTTTTATTCATTCTTTTTGTCAATCTTTTTTCATTTTTCATTTGTCTTTTTTCATAATTGATTTAGTCCTATTCCTCCTTCTTCTCCTTCTCCTTCTCCTTCTCCTTCTCCTCCTTTCCCCTTTTGTTCTTTCTTTTTGTCAATTTTTTTTCATAATTAATTTAGTGTTAATGACTTACTTGGTAATGATTAATAATTATACATTATATATATATACTTTTTTTCTTTTCCTCTCAGGTGGGAGCAGCCAGCCAAGGAAATTACTTTATAGTATGGAGCAATTGGGCAGCTTTAATCTTTATAAAAGAAAAAAATATATATATAAACTAAAATTAGTGATTATGTATGCAGAGGTTGCAATGTGCTTGCTTGGAAGGAGGTTTACATGTATGATTTTAATAACTTTGAAGTATATGCTTGATTTAAGTAGGTCACTGTGTTTTATTTACCAGTTTTTGTGTTTAATAAGGTGATTATTTTTGTTATTATTTTTTTGCTTATTTGTTTGTTTTCATAAGTGAAATGAGCTATAAATGTTTTCATCTAAGTGATATTTGAATAAGTTGAGATAATGTTTAATGTATGCATTATATTTCACTTTTTTCTGATTTGTTTGTTTGTTTATTGATTTTGCTTTTTTCCCTTTAATAGAACAATGTGTTTCACTCAAGTGTTCAAGCATAAAATCTTGCATTGTTCTTAAATTTAACTCTTTGTTTATGAGTATAAGTACAACCCCACTGTATTATTATTATTATATTTTTTATTATTATTGTTGTTATTTTTACTTACTAATTTATTCTTTTCTTTCCCCATTCTTTGGATTTTCTTGATTTTTTTTATATATTTCTCATGTAAAAAAGGTATGAATGAGAATAAATATTTTCACAATACAAGAGATGCATTTGACCGGTTTCGATTATATCTTCATCAGAAATACAATCGAAACCGGTCAAATACATCTCTTGTATTGTGAAGATATTCATTCTCATTCATACCTTTTCTACGTTTGTCAACATGAATACAGTTCATATTTTTCATAATGCTTCTAATACTGATTCTATTTTTATTATTGTTGACATTATGTTGTTAATGGAATTGAAATACTAATAGCAATAGAAAAAAGAACAAAAAAAATCTTGCTGAAAATGAAGGAAGAGGGCAGGTGACAAGTGAAATAGGTGTAAACATGTTTATATTATGAAATATTTATTTTGAATACATATATTTATTTATCTTTTACATGGATGGTAATTGTTGTTGAGCATTATATGAAAAGAAGCATAGAAAATATATCTGAAGATGTTATACAGTGACAGTATATAAACAATAAATATTGTTGATATGTATCCTCTCTGAGCATTAAAAAAAAAAGAAAAAAAGAAAAAAAAAGTAATATGCTGAAAAAGATATATACATCATAATATATGCCTTGGCAAGATGAGCCTATGATTCCTAATTCCTTTTTTGTTGTTAAAAGGACAGTGTTCCATAATGAATTACAATCACATATACACAAAATTATTGCATTTCAATTTGTCTCCAAATCTATTCATAACCCATGCTTTATTTCCTGTGAAGTCTTCTTTAATTAGTAACTATTAGTATGAGAATCCATTATAATTAGAATATTTTGATTACTACTACATGAAGAGATTGCTCTAAGTTTATTCTTTGTATTGAAAATCTCTTTAATTTTTTCATTTACATATTTCATCTCATTGAGAAAACTAGTAATGTTGTCAGGGAACATTACCAATGCAAGTCTGTCACATCTTGCCATATAAGCCAAATGCAATATTGAAATCTTTCATAACACATCTTATTATAACTGTCATTATCTATTTTTAGCTTCACAAACAAATTTATGGGATGGGCACAGCTTCCACAGCCATGGATTCGATGGCACACTCGTCAACACCGCGACGAATCCTAAAGTAGCCATCCTCTCCCCAGTCTTCGCTCCAGGAGTTCTTAACGCTCCAGTACTTTTCTCCAGTCGCCTCGTCTTCCCCATATCCGACGAGTAATACTGCGTGATTCGTCAGCTGTGGGGGCAGCGAGAGAGAGAGAGAGAGATGGAAATTATCCTCTAAGCTTATCTTCAAGCTTATAAATATCTTAAATATACCCCTCAATCCCTTTGCTCTTGTTGTTGTGGGAGGTTTGGGAGATAGAGACTGAGGCCCATTGCAGCCCTCGCCTCAACTAATTTTGTATGGTCTTTTCTTCTCCTTTCCTTTACCTTCTCTTCATTCCTTTCTTCTGTCCACTCATCCTAACTCATTTTTACCCTTTTTGTTACAATAATTTTATTTGCCACAATACATATATTTGTTTTGACTGTTAACCATTCTGACTATCCACAAACATCGCCTTACTGAACAAAAAAATTTCCTTCACCCCCCAGCTCCACCCTATCGCTACATTTTGAATATGCTGCTAAGGGCCTTATATGTTGATGCGTCAGAAAATTTCCAATAAATGAATTTCATAAGTATAGATCAGAAAGAATAGATGTTTGGGTAAAAGATTGAATTAAGCATGGTAGTTTGTTGATTAAATTCAAATTCATTTTTCTAATGAGAATTTTTTTTTTAGATTCTTTTATACCTGAACAACATGTAGCAGATGATTACCTATTTTTTTGATGGAGTACAATAAAGTCTGAATACTTTTACACTTGAAAAGTATAAGAAGTTTTTATACTCTTCAAGTATAAATTCTACAACAGAATTAAAACCTACTGCAGATTTTACATTACATTTTAACATGGTTCAGTAGGAGAACAGAATACAACATAAAAAAAAAAAATCTTGAAGTAATTTTAAACATGAATAGCCATCCATACCTAATGGTGGCATTCTAATTTGCAATGGACTTATAGAATAGAATGTTTCCCTTATCAAGTAAAAAAAAATGCACTCTTAAAGTATTTTGATAAATGAATATCATTCTTTACCTCAAGAGGATTAAATCTGTCCTGGAGACCTGTGTGATGGTAAATACCGCCTTTGTAGTGGAGGAAATCATCATAGACTTCTAGTCCCACAACAAGAGGTCCTCCCTTAATGAGAGCTAGTTTCATCTCCTCTTCATTACAGGCTCCATAGTAACCTAGAAAGTAAATAATGTGAAGCCAATGGCACCCTGGTTATGACACTGTGCACTATATTTTGTTTTAGCAATTCTGTTTACACATAGATGGCTCCACAAGTGCTTAGTCACTAAGGGGTCAATGTCTTTCTAACCTCATTTGATAGCCTTCAGTTGCAGGGAAAGTTTTATCTTTTCTAATGCTATTGGTACCATGGTTCTTTTATCATTATTATTGACTATGGGATGATTTTTATGTTATATCAATACTGTTAGTAGGAAGCACATTTACAAAAAAAAAATCTTAACTCCAGGAAAGGGTAAACAAGTGAGATCAGGAAGGACCAGTAATTACCTCCTTGATGACTAGGCTCTTGTGGAGCCATTTGTTTAAGCAAAATCAATAAACTAAGTCACTGTGGACATGGCATATGTATCATGCCATTCCAGCATCATTAAATTCATTTGACTATCTCCCCTGATCTTAATGTTGAATGATGGGGATTTTCTCTTCTTTCAGGGATAGAAATATACATACTCTAGGATACACTCAAATAGACAAAAAACTAAACACATCATGTTCTTAGAATTGTTATTGCCTCATGGATCTGCCATTAGTTAACAGTATAGGGAAACTATGCAAATAGGTTAAGTAGATATGTGTGGGTTGTAGTTCATGAATATTCAGTAATATACCTTCAGTACTTAAGATTGGTAACTGGTATTTTATTCTGCCTATTCTTTAATAAATGTGAGAATTTCATAGTTCTTCTCAATTACTGTTCTCGTTACTAACCTCCAACATAACGGTAATAAGCTGTGTAATGTTTTGTGCAGGTACTCCTTACACATGTGTCATCTTTGCCTTCATAGGGGTAACAGTCCTCAAGCACAACACCAACATCTTGTGCATACCTGAGGATAACCATAAAAACTTGTCATTTCTATTTTCATCACGTGTAATAATTTCTATTCTTCTTTGGCTCTGTAGAATTTAAGTAAAGGCCCAGATTCACTGCTCAGTAGAGAGACCCACTAATTTTTTGGGCTTGGATAAAGCATATACTTAAGATTCCTGTGACATGAGTCCAGTGTAACATATTTAGAGAATTGTATGAATGAGAGTAAATTATACTATGCAAGGTATGTAACTGATAAGTACGTTGTAATAATACAATAAGGCATTTTATATAAATACACAAAAACTCTGCCTGATGAGGGCTCAGATCCAGCGATTCTTGGTAACATCCAGAGAGAATGGGAATGAAGTAGCAAACCCCACGATCCAAGAAAAAAAATACTGACCAGATAGTGCACTACCCAGACTTATCCCTGGTCCCTGAGGTACCTCTGGCTACCCATCCTCCCAGTTTTGGTTAGATTACAATTGCAGGTAGACTTTGCTTGGCTTAGTGTGTCTAGGTATGCTTCAAAGCCTTCTTAAGTATATTATAACTACAATAATATTTCCCACACTTTTTAAAACAACCATAGGCTATAAATTCTGATTGCCCATGAAATCATAGCAGGAATTAGGTAAAGAGTGCTTTAGGTCTGGGTTGCTTAATTCCCCAGATAACTTGCTGAAGCAATGTGTTACCTATTATGGCTTGATTCACATGCCTAAGAATGAGTGTATATATATATATATATATATATATATATATATATATATATATATATATATATATATATATATATATATATATATATATATATATATGCATGCATGCAACTGGAATTATTCACCTTGAACAATTCTTACATAAAACAGTGAAGGGAAGAGCAGGAAAACATGAATAGAAAAGGCCTTCAGCATATTCGTTTTCCAACTCTTCCCTTTGTTATTCTGTTCACAACATGACATTGTAAATTTAGAAACTGGAAATATTCAACCTCATCTCCTCCACATTCTCCTACAAACTCTCGCAGACTCACCTGCCAGCAATAAGGAACGGGAAACCACCCTCACATCCCTGAGAGAGCTTGGAACATCCTACGATATCCTGCGGGGCAAAAACTGGCTTCTGGTGGTTGCTGGTCAGAATCCTAACTCGAGATTCTAGGCCACCCATGGAGGCAAAGGCATAGCAGGAGCCACAGTTGCCTTGGTTCCTGATTCCAAAGGAGGATTTAGTTTGTATGATGTGTTTTGATAAGGAAAACAAAATAGATAAAAATAAACATGACAATTACCAATATATTTAGAATTAGATATTGATCTAGGAATTAGAAGATTTAAATTTGCGATATTGGAGGATGTAATGTGTATGATTTATTTCTATAAGAAAATAAAACTTGTGAGGATTATTACTATATTCAGAAACGGAGGAGA